AATGTACCTTCTTTATTTTATGTTTCCTTCTCTACACTTTATTTAGCTACTGCAATCTCAATCCTATTCGCAAATCTTTCCCTTTAGATAACAATTTCTTTTGAATGATAACATCTTAAATATAGCATAAAATTCTATCTTTGATTATCTTTTTCGTCTTATCTCCAAAATTAGATGTTTTTACTAATTTTCTTAACTCACCAATGTTCTTTCTTACATTTTCATTATTTCCTCTGTTAAAATTCTCTCACTTCTTTCAGTTAAATATTTATTTTTTATTTTTTTTTACTGTTAGTTCACCCAATATAAGGCTCAAGGGTTACTGAGTGATATTATTGTAAGGAAAATGGAAGTAAGAGAGTATTATGAGGGCAAGTAGGACAGATATCACCAGACCCTGAACTTACAGAGACTAAGATTGTAGCTATCAGGGAAGCATTCTCTTTGGAATTTGTTCAACAAAATAGCAGTCCTGAGGAAGATGTCTGAGTGGAAATTGCTTTTTATCAAAGGAATAAGAGGGGAAAAAAGATGGTTTACCACTGTGAACATGGCATGCTGGATCCTAGCTGTTAAGGCCTGAGCTGGTGAAACTAAGGAATATAACTCGTTTGAACATCTACCATAATAACCATGATATAGTAGTGAAAGGCTGACAACGTTTTGTCTGTGTAAGCACTTTTGAACTCAATCGCTGTTGGTCAGTGAAGGTTGAGCAGCACCAGCTTAGATATGGCAGCAGTACTAAATTCTTGGTATGATCTAACTTTTGTTATTGTAGAGCATTTTTCAAATCATTTAATAGTGTGCTACTCAGTTTCCTTCGAAACACAACATTTTCAATAGATTATATTTTTCTGGGCTCAAATCTGTTAAAAAAAAAAAAAAATGCTATTTTTTATCATCTGTGTTAATGGACATAGCTTTGAAATAAAAAATTTAATCTTTTATGACAATCATTAAAGCTCATACTATTTTTAAGTTGTTCTATCAGATATTAGGTCACTATTTTAAATAATATTTCAAACTTTTTCCTTTTCAATGTCACTTTAATCTATGCTATTTCTCAGCAGCTCAACCTGCACAAAGATGTCAGTATTACATATAAAACAACTGACAATGTTTTACTGCTTTATGTTTGGTTCTGAATCTTCATCTGGGCTCAGTTTACTTACGTGTAACCAGTCTGCTTCAGTTTCACTATAGAAAGCACTTCTTTCTCCTTGGCAGGGCACAACAACTCATAGTGGTACAAGCAAGAGTCAGGGTTACCTCAGCCAGTTACACAAAATCATGCTAATGAATACAAAAAATAAAGCAAACAAAAGTTCAATACTGATAATTTAAATGTGTTTATGTTAGTTCATGTTCAGATCAGGATAGTGGTGCTCCTGAAAAAATTCACTCTATGAATTTTGTAATTTCTCTTACAAAACTCTATTGTGCTAGCCTCAGATAGGTGCACCTGGGGTTTAAGAGATTGCTCATGCAATAATTTATTTTGCATAAAAGTAGTATTATTAATAGTGTGCCAGTTCAAAATAGTGAAAAGCAGCAGCTTGAATTTTCACAACACAAAAGTCACGCATGCAAAGATATAAATTCTTTAGCCTAATGATCAAAAATATTTTATACATGTATTCATTTTCAATCTAACTTCTTTCTTTGACATTGTTCTTATTCAGTGGGGATTATTAATAACATAGATCAACCAATATACAGTGAAAATTTCAGATCAAACTTAACCTAATAACTGTTGTTGACTTACATAATTTCATCTTTGGTTTAATAATCAAAAAAAAAAAAAATTGCACTGTCAGATATAACAATACCAATTTTACTTTAGGTGTACATTTCAATCAACCAGACTATGTACTATTGTTAATGCTAGACACTTTTGGTATCTCCATTTAGCTGAAAACAAAATCACCAAAAATTTGAGTTTGTATAATAAAATTCCATATTTTCAGTTCAATTAGAAATTTATATGTACTACTTCTGTGTACTGTGTCATTCAGGACATAGGCGATCCTGGCTCTCCATAATTTTCTGTCTTTTATAGCACTTAATAAAGTTTACCTTTTTGCTATCTCTCCTAATACCTGTTCTGCCAACTATTTACACAAGCTCATTTGGGAGATTACCCTCTTCTCCTTGCCTTTTGCCTTCAATTGTCCTATAAGTTTTTTCATTTTTTGCCCTAGAAATGTCATCTATCTCTTTCTGAAGCTAAGTGTCCTTTTTATTTCCATTTTCTCTAAAACTTTATCATTGTTCAGATGTTCAGTCTATGGTATTCTCAGCATCCTTCTGTATTGCCACATTCCTATTGTCTCAAGTCTCTTCTTCATCTGTGAGGTGATTGTCCAGCAATCACTACCATATAGGAGGACTGATATTATATAACAGTTCCGTACTCTTTTCTTTGTTTCTAACAAAACTTTTATGTTTCTTAATACTTTGATTAGTTTTTAGAAGGCACCTTTTGTTATCCCAATGAGTCTTTAGATTTCAGTGTTGTATTTTCATCTGTTAAAACACTAATGCTGACTACCCTAAATTAAGTTCATTTTTTAAAATCTGTCACACGTACACACTGTGTGTGTGTGTGTGGTGAAATGATCTAAGCTCAGCCAAGAAGCCCTTTCAGAAGTCTTGGTGATTGGTTAAATTTTGTGAAATGGTTTATTGCCAAGAATACACACACACACACACACACACACAGTGTGTGTATGTATATGTATAAACAAAGGCTTATTGAGTTGATAATTGCAAAACACATTTTTATCGTGAGAGGTATAGTTTGTCAGTTTTGAAACTCATCAAAATTTAATTCCTCTAATTTAGGACAAACACAGTATTGAACTGGATTATACTTAACAGCTCAGTACTCTTACAGAACAGTCTTACTAAAACACTATGCAAAAAAGCTCTCTTTTGGCATTTGGGAATGTATTTGCCTTAGGCAAATATTATGGATGATCATAGCTCCTTGTGTATTTTCAGGAAATTAGATTGTGCTTTGTTTGTATTTCATTGTCCAACAAGAATTTTCTATTTGGAATCTGTTTACTTAGCAAGGCGCATACTGTTTACATTATCTATGTCATTTGAAGGGAAAATGTCTGGAATGTTACTGCAAACTATTGTTTTCATTATATGTTTTCAGTTCTTTTCTTTTCATTTATAATTACATTTTGTTTATTAATTTTCACTAGTTTTCTTTCATCTTTATTGTTGCACTTAAATCTTTATATTTTGGCTATTAACATAAACAGTGTATATCAGAAATAAAGAACTAGTTTTCAGATATGAACTGGAATCCTATATCCTGGGAATGAACTCAACATGGGTATCGTTTATAATGATCAACACTGCTTACTTTAACAACTTGCATGATAAGAAGCAATGATAAAAAAAAATTTACTTGACATTATAAAAATACTTCATCTAAAAAATTCAGATAACTTAAAGACTACATTGTTTCTCTCTCTATTGCTTCTTTTTTTAAACACTTAATAGCTCATAAGAAGGAAAAAACACTGGTTTAATTACAGTTGTAAGCATTTGATGTTGATTAATTTTTATGGTAAAAATATTCTGATTAAATACTGTTAAATGTTAGCAATTATGTTTGCTACTAAGCCTACAGTTGGTGAAAGATTATTTTTAGCAATTTGGTGTGTCAATGAAAAGGCTGGAGTAACTCAAACAAAACAGTGACTAAAAAAAAAAAAAAAAAAACTTTCTTTTGAACAGCCACATGCTGGAACCCAGCATTTCTCAACCAATGTGCCCAGGCACATTAATGCACCTTGAGAGGTAGCCAGGTATGCCCAAAGTTAACAGAAGGTTATTTTATGATTTTTTTTTTTTTTTTTTTTAATTCTTATAATAATAAGTTTATGATCTCAAAGTTAGAGACTAAATCTTATAAGATCTGAACTTTGAAACTTGGTTGGAACATACATATTCTTTAGTAGTAACTGAAATATCTAATTTTTTTTTAAGTAAATAGGCACTTATCTATTCCTTCGTTTCTTCAAAAATTTGCAAAATTATAAATATATATATAACATTATTTTCAATATTCTATAATAGTGGAAAATGCAATTTCAAGAACATGCAGAAGAGTGTAGAGATGCACATACAAAGAATGAGTGATTTATTTCCCATGAAATTTATTAAAATTTAAAGTGTGTCTCAGTAAAAAAAAAAAAAAAAAAGAAGGTTTTTGCCAAGATATCTGGTGATGGTGAGACAGTGTGCAGGAAGAAGTCGATTCATGCCTTTTTCATAAAAGTATGACTAAATGAATACAAATATTCCATCACCTTTGTTTTATATGGTTTGCCATGGAAGCTAAGTAGTGATTCATTTTAGATAAAATCATTTACATCTGAAATAATATTAGGTAAATTCTAACTGTGAAAGGAGAATTTTATTGTAACTTTTCCATAAAAAGAATCCTCTGTGAGAAAATTTTTAAAGGGCTGTTTGTTCTCAAAAGTAAATAGAAAAATGAATTGTATTATTATAATTATCTCTGTATTTAAGTGAAGTACTAGATTAGCTACAAGATCTCATCAATTTACAGTTGAATTGCCTAGAAGTAATTAAGTTGTATGCTAATATTTTCTTTTTTTTTTTTTTTTATTGCACTTCTCATTTGTGGAACTCTCTTCCGGCTTCTTGCTTACCTGTCAACTTTGATCTTCAAAACTTTAAATGCATAAATGCAATGTTAATTGTTATCTCCAGTCTTCCTGATTACTATTGTTCTTGTTCCATAATAATGTTTCTGTTTTCTAATTCTTTCACACTCAGTAACCCCTTGTGTCTTAGTGGCTTTATTACCTTGCATCGGATGAAATAATTAAAAAAAAAAAAAAAGTTGTAATTTATCAAAGCATAGGAGGATCTATTAATAAAATATGTGAGAACTTTCATTTACTATAAGGATGATTGATGGGTATAACAGACCTCCTAGTAACCAGGGCTTATGGCCATATCACATTGAAACAACAGTTCCCATCTGATCACCGAAGTTAAGCAATGTTGAGCCCAGTGAGTATCTAGATGGGTCACCGCTTGGGGAATACCAAGTGCTGTAAGCTTGGATATACAGGTGGTGTATTATATAATGGGTTAGAATTTTTAATTGGACAACCGTGTTCTAATTCCTGTTGAGTTTATGTTTGCTTATGAGCAAATACCATTGGAAAAGGTATTAATCCACCTATTGTTACCCCCACCCAAGCTATGAGTTAATTAGTAAGAATTATATCACTAAATCTTTATTATCGAAAAAAAAAAAAAATTTGTTAAATTCTAAAAATATTTTCTGGCATTAAATAACTTACAATGGGTTGATAAGCCAAAGAAAACAAATCAAGCAATCAATCAAAATAACTAGAAATGTAAGCACATTCTCAGTTACAACTTCAGAAACTCTTGAGCATTTTAAATTTATTCCTTCAAATCATGGCACATACTGAAACAATTTTTTATTCATTTTCTTTTTTTTTTTTTACCCTCTTTTACTAAACAAATGTAAATCTTTTTAAAAACACATTTAATTTTCAAATCTTCTGTTAATATTCTCTAGCATGAACTCTAAAACAAATCACTTGCTTCAGAGATCATTTCAATAGTTCAATGATCTTCATTGATTTTGTGGCAAATCTGTTTAAAATTTTCATCACTTCAGTTTGTTGAGTGTCAGCCAGTCCTAGTTGGTCTTCAAGTGACATTTTACCATATTTAAAATCTAAATACCAATCATAGACATTCATTTTACCTAAAACTTCTTACATGTGTGCATCCATTTGCTCATAGGTAAAATGAATTTAGTGCTTGAATAAGAGTAATCATACATCTCGTAACTGCTCCCTTCCTTTAAATGCCATGTCTCTTTAAGACATACGCAAACATAATTATGCACAGATTCTTTATCTGAGTTTCCATGTCTTTGGAAACATTTTGAAGTGGTTTCTTGTTGCCTTCTCCACAGTTTGGCTACTGCATTAACCCTTTGGAGACTGAGCCTCATTTGGAGTTTCAGTGCCAAGAAGACATAGCTCTTTTCACAAACCCTCACTTGTGTGTGTATGGGGGGATCGATGTGAAATCACAGAATACAGCAAACTATTATAGAAGCCACCATTGAAAGTTTCAGATGTGCAAGAAATGTGAGAAGCAATCTGATTAGTTGGTTGTTCTTTGTACCAGCCAATCTCAAGGCTGGTATTATCGGGCTGATGGATTGACACAGTCATCTTCTTTGTCATTCAACCTTTCTGCTAATAGTTCAGCCCTGTCGTCTCCTAAGGGTTAAAAGCAAAAGAACATCAACTGGAGGAAATGTCTTCAAAAGCTGTAAAGGATAGTGTCCCTTCTTCTAAATATTTGTCCATGTTAGTGATAACTTTTATGTTGTTGACAATAATTTCCTTTTGGAAATCTACTGATAAAGGATAATGCTAGTCAGTTCTTTTTAATTCCACTTTGCTTTTTTTTGTTTTTACTTATTCCTTAATATAAAAGAAAAAAATTCCTTTTATAATTTAAAAAAAAAAGGTTTTAAGGTAAAATAAGCATGGTTTTCTGTTTGTTAACTCCATTGGCAAAAAAAATAAATACATATTTCAAACTATATATTTCATTTTTCTCTCTCTCTTTTAAGAGTATAAAATCCCTTTTCTTTTTTGTTTATTCAGGTGAAGGGATGGGCATGTAAGAAAAGTTCCATTCATTTACTATCCTGACTTTGGAATGTCAAAAGAAAAATGAGGCCACCTATTTTTATGTTTTCAAATAGAAATCAGGAAGAACAAATAAATAGCATTATTGATGAAAACAATTGGCATGTAGACTAAATATGTTGTGTTTGTTGCAAGTATATCATTTTCCTTTTCCTTAGTGTATTATTGATTGACTTATCTGCTCTTGGATAGATAGTTATTTACCCACAGATTTGTGAGGATTCTTTCCCACGTAGGGACACTATATATGACAATAAAAATACACCATTTTCAGAAATGGAGGCAATTTTACCAAAGCAGTCATTTCTCAGGTGTTCTTTTATGTTCTGTGTTCTTTTAAGACAACAGTGTTCATAGCTCTCCACAAATTCATATCCTTTGTAGCTCTTAGCAATGTTTGTCTTTTTACTATCACTCCCACTTCCTGTTTTACCATCCATTTATACAAGCTTGTTAGGTCGGTAACTTGCAGTTTCCCTCTCACTTTCAGTATGTCCTGTGAGTTTCAGATTTTCTAAGCCCTCATTTCTCATTACGTGTCCTAGAAATTTCAACTATCTCTTTCTGATTCTAAATACAAGTGTTTTTGTTTCCATTTTCTTTAAAACTTCCTTGTTGCTTATATGCTATGTCCATGGTATTCTCAGCATTCGTCTATAGAGCTATATATCTGTTGTCTCTTCTTCCTTCATTGCCATACAGGAGAATTGCTATTACGTAGCAGTTCAACACACTTTTCTTTTTTCCTAATGAAATTTTCCTGTTTTTAAACACTTTGTTTAGCTTTTGGGAAGCATATGCCACATCAATAACGCCCACTAAGTTTTATCACTTTATATTAAAAACAGTTTATTTGCATTTTGATCAACTGTCAGTATTTTCATACAAAAGTGAATACCTTCCACTTTCCCTTTCCCTGATTGAATTTTCTTCAACAAGATTATTTCAGTGGCTCTCTGCACTTCGTCTTAGTTGTGGCTATTTGACAGAGTTTGTTAATTGGATGAGAAGGGCAGATAGTTCAAATATTTCTACTGTAACATTTCTAATTACAAACTCAGCAAATAAAATTAGATTTTTTTATAACATTGTCAGTCGGCAACTACAAATCGTTCTCAATAACATACAGTACCATGCAAAAGTCTTTGACTATTGTTAATTTTCAACAATTGCCAATTTATACATAGATGTTTCTTTTTCTACAGATAAAAAGTAATCCTATTGAAAATATTTTCCTACCAAATTATTATCTTGTGTGGCAGGGGTTATGAATGAAACCGGAATCTGTGTGATAACCTCTCAAGATGGCTTTGCAAAAGTTTTTGTTTGGCCACCACACATAAACTAAGCAAGATACAATATTTTAAAATAGAAAAATGTCTATAATGAAAATTTATTATATGACGTTCATTTCAAAAGATTATTATACATTGTTAATATTTTCTGTGGCTCCCCTTAGTTTGAATAGTTGCTTTAATGTGCCTGGGAAAAAGTGCGTACAAATCCTTCACCATCTTCCCGGACGCAAAGATGCTGAATTTCACAACTCTTTTCTTTAGTTCTGCTCACATTTGCTCAATGATATTTAAGTTGGGGCTCTGAACTGGCCAATCTTTGAATACCCTGATACCTTAATCAACCATACTATTGTGTTGCTTACAGTCTGTGGCATAGAAATCAGTCATGCTTAAAAATCTCATCTTTATCCAAGATTGGTTTCAAGTGGTCTTCAGCAACTGAATGGATTTAGCATAATTTAAATTATAATCAGTTTTAATCAACTTTCCTGAAGCATTATTTTTTTATGCATCCCTAAACTCCCAAAGTGTACTGTTTTCATCATGTAATGAGTTTTGCTTTCCTGTAGGTCTTTTGACAAATTCTTGCTCATTAGACTGCAGCTCCATGCTAGCTTTATCATTGAATGTAATTTTATTCCTAGTATCTGCATCCCATAATTTATACTGCTTTAAGTTAATTTTACCTTCAAATGTTTTTTTGCTTAATGCAAGTTTATTAGCTGAAACGAACCTCTGTGTTCTTGAAAGATGTTTAATATTGTGTCAGTTGATGCTAAGTGCAAGTTTCACTTGTCTTGTAAGCTTCTTTGCTTTCCTGATCAGTTTCAATAAAAACTTATGTTGCCACTTTCAAGGATCATCACATCTTGGTCATTCTGAAAGCAGTTCTAGTGCCTTGAAACTTAGAGAATTTCTGAAATGTAACTTTTTAAAATTCTAAATTCCTTAGGTTCATATTCTTGGTCATCTTCAATATCTTTATCCTGGTTTCTTCAGGTGTTTATGCCATGATTTCAAGCAATGAAAGAATACCAGAATTTCATGTAAGAATGTTCTATTGCTAATATGCAAATATTTTTTCACAACAACACTGAAAAGAAAAGAGCAGAAAGGAAAGGTAACCAAAAACTTTTGCATAGCTAATTTTGGGAATTGTCTCGTATCTTTCTCTCTCATTCAGAACAATTGCTACAAAAAATGATAATTAGGTATGAAAATGACATGAATAGGACCAAGGTTTCATATATAGAAAGTGCAAGACAAAACATTCTAAGATAGTAATTATTTTTTTTAAATTACAATAGTTTAATGTGGTTAAAAACTTTTACATGGTACTGTAGTTATTTTAAAAACCTTTTCTTTAATGTATATTATTTTAAAATATAATTACATTCTATAGAATTATGAATTTATAATTATCTTTTTACCTGTTTAATTTTTTCATAACTTTTCATTCTCTTCCAAATTTTGTTCTGATAATTAAACACCTTCTTGTATCTGATTTTAACATAACTTGACCATTTCTCTAGAGAAACACTTTTGTAAATTGTAAACCTGATAAGTCCTGAAGAGAATGAATCAGTTGAAATGTGTTAACTGTATATAAAGAAGAGGTTCAAACAAAATTTGTAATGTTAAGGACTCTTGTTGTAGATTGTGTTTACATCTCTCGTTCTAATTTCTATTTTATTAGAAAATGTACCAGAATTTTCAAACCTACACATATACATAGTTGCCTTATTTTTATTGAGGCAGAACCAAGATTATTCTTGTACATAGCAAGGTGGTTCCTGCCTGAATGAGGATCTCTGTGATTTGAGGCACAAAAACTGATGGTAGTCCAAGTACACAGTGTTTTTATCAAAACACCTCTCTATGAAGGTTACCAATCAAGGCTTGAGATCCTATCCTAGCTTTATTTATCTATCTATCTATATATATATATATATATGCCCTTTCTGCTGACTTTAGATCATATTTAGTTTATTTTGTAAGTTACGGTGATTTTTTAAAGCAAATAGTCTAAAGTCAGCAGAAAGGACCTAATTAC